GTAGATTTCACGAACCATTTGGATGTCTTGTAATTTTTCATATTTGTAATTTTAAAAGGAAACTACAGTTTGTCACTAAAAAAAGACGGAGTAGGTCAAATATAACGAAGTAATTATTATTTTCAGCGGCAAGTTTCTTAATTCTTTGTTCGAACATTTCAGTCATTCAGTTTATGACAGCATAACAGCACGAAAAAAAAAAAGACATTGAACTCTTCCGCATAAATCAATGATGCGCAGCTGCTTACAGCAATATCATTGGTGACAACAAGAATTAATAGTTGAGCCCTTAAAGCTGACACGATATACCACATCTACTTTACATTTTGAACGACATCTGAAGCCTTGGTCGCACGCAGAAAATTCGGTCCCCAGGTTTGACTCCCCGGCAGCTCCATACGTTGTGATGTGCGGCAAACGGGATGTAGGCGCTTTTTGTCGAGTTGAGATCCTGTGCGAGACGAGACGAGACTGAGGCCGAGGCGAGACTGAAGCAGCGAATCGCGATCTTCCATGGAGCATGTCCGGGCCGTGCAAGCGCGCAAATGACCGTGGCCGCAGCGGCATGCGCGCCGTGCAGGCGGCGAGGGCGGGCGGAAGGGCGGAGGCGGCAGGCGGCGCAAGTCAAGGGATGTTGCAGACGCGAAGTCGCGCTGCCGTCCGCCGCGCCGCGCCGCCCGCTGCTGACCAGAGCCTGGCCGCTGTAAGCCCGCCGTGTTCTGCCGCAGCCGTCGCCGACTGACACGAGACTCCCCGAACAGCTTGGCCCGCGATGTGAAGGACACCCGTAGGAGTCACGTGCTAATCACTCGCGCTACCTGGAGCCACTGCTATTCACATATCCTCTGCTTGCGCGGTGCGAGGATTTGTTTGGATTCCGGTGTCATGTCGGTCGATTAGCGCCACGGGAATGAGCTAAGGCAATGGTAGCGTATCGTTGTATAAAATGCACTGTACCCGTTATAAGTTCAATCGGGATGGATTTACAGTTTTCCTTCCGGAATAGTGAGTCTAGAGTCTCAAGAGTTAGTACGACCCCACAAAAGTTATATCTTTTTCATCTCTCTTTCTCTCTCTCTCGTCATCTCCTCTCTCTCTCTCTCTCTCTTCCGCTGCTCCCTCCTTCCTCGCTGTCTCCCTCTCGCTGTCTCCTCTCATTCGCTGTCCTCCCTGCTCTCGCTGTGCTCTCCTCTCCTGCGTTCTACTTTCGTCTCTCTCCGCTGCTCTCTCTCTCGCTGTATCTCTCTTCTGCCTGTTCTCTCTACTTCGCTTGTCAGCTCTCTCTCGCTGTACTTCTCTCGCCTCTCTGTCTGCTATCTCTCTCTCTTCGCTGTATCTCTTCTTCCTCGCGTTATCTCTCTGTCCGCTGTATCCTCTCTCTCGCTGGTATCTCGCTTCTCTCGTCTCTTCGTGTTTCTTCTGCCTCTCTTCTCTCCTCTCTCTCGTTCTCCTGTCTTCGCTCTCTTCTCGTCGGCTGGCGTCTGCTCTCTCTCGTCGGTGCTCGCCTAGGCTCTCTTTCTCTCTTTTCTGGCTGTCTCTCTCGCTCTTCTCGTCTGTCTCTGTCTGTCTCTCTCTCGCCCTCTCTCTCGCTCTTCTCCGCTCTCTCTCTCTCGCGTCTCTCTCTCGCTCTCTCTCGCTCTCTCTCGCTCTCTCTCGCTCTCTCTCGCTCTCTACGCGCTGTCTCTCTCTGCGCTGTCTCTCTCTCGCTGTCTCTCTCTCGCTGTCCTCTCTCTCGCTGTTCTCTCTCTCGCGCGCGCCTGTCTCTCTCTCTCGGCTCGCTGTCTCTCTCTGTCTCTCTCGCTGTCTCTCTCTCTGTCCCCTCTTAACACGCACCCGCCACACAAGCGTAAGCCCACAAGGTGGGACTTCAAGTCAACTCTTTCGATACAAGTCACTTTCAGTGAGCCCACCTTAAAGACAGTTTGGCAACTTGGGCATCCCTGATTTTCTTCGATTGCAATTTAATTTATTGACACCTTTATTCTTGTCTTTTTGCATTGTCCTTTCTTTTTATTGATGTTGGAATTAGAGTTTTGTCCATGCGATGGTTTTAGCGTTTTAGCGTTTTTGTTTTCATCAATGAATCATTATAATTATTATTGGTTATTTCTCGTTAATCCCCACTACAGTTACTGCTTATCATTACCGTTTATGTACACAGTAGTTTCTTACTTCACTCTTTGATATGCTTTTCATGATGACTGCGATGGATGTCTCATCGTTTCCAATAGAAGATTACCACTCTCTTCGGAATGGAAGCATATGTGATGTATCGACTATCTACGCTTAGTGTCACGATTTCCCAAAGATAGGTTCAAACCACCGTAAACTGTAGCAGCCTCAGTTCCTTAATATAATCGCCTCTTTTTATTCAACAATTAAATTTAATCAAGAGTTAATTCAGAGTACAAACAGCTCATTCCTTATGAATGGTCTATCCAAAAATGTCATTTACTAATCTTATATGGTAATAAAGCCATTGAAAGACTACTCTCGAGCAAAAAGAAAGAAATTTAAATAATATAATTAAATAAATTATTATAATTTTCAATTTTCAACGCACTATCGGCTTCTTGCATTAAATTCATCCTTTCAAAACATTATTTTGCTTTCTCCACATATCTCTCTCGTGATCAGGATTTCACCGCACTTCGGAAAACATGCCTTGTGTACGAGCCTCTGCGGAAAACGGCGTGTCACCTGAATGACATCGGCAATCGAAAAGGTACTGCCCGCGTCGGGGACTTCGCCCGGCACGCTGCAGCAGGCGACAGGAGAAAGGGAGCAAATCGAGGGCGGGAGTCGCATCGGCGGTCAACTTCAGCGTGAGGATAATGAGGGTCCGTTGTGCCTGGGTGAGGGTCACGTAGCGCGGAGTGTGAAGTATGTGTGTGTGTGTATGTGTGTGTGTGTGTGGTGGGGGCGATGGACGGGTGTAATGATGTGGGAAGAGCAGAACAATTGCGGCTGCCTCGGAATCACGAAAATAGCACCAGAGGCGGAGATGGAGGCAGAGACTTTGGGAAGGCGGCTGGCAACGGCATTGGGCGTCTCAGTACGGGGACGAAGCAAGTGCCGATGAAACGCACGGGGGAGCGTTTGAAGGGGGGTATGAATAAACGGTCGGGAAATAAACTGGAAATTGAGGAATGAATGATAAACGTGGTGGGGAGAGATGGAAAATACAGCGAGTTAGTCGCAGTAGGAACTACAAGACCGCAGCGCGACGAAGAGAAGAGAAGTACAGCATGGAGAAAAGGGAGTGTCGTGTAAAAGAGGAGATAATAAAAAATAAGGACAGTGGTGACAAGCGAGACACAACGTGAAACAACAAAGGAGTGGGAGTAGCGACGACGCGAAGAGATGGGGACAGATTTTCATGAAATCGGAGCGTGATAATGGAGGGGGGAGAGAGATACAAACCATTTCTTCTATGTACAATATTCCTTGGACGAAACTTCTCACAGAACCTACATCGGCGGTACCTGGCAATACGATTGTCTTGCAATGAATTGCTTTTTGGCAATTAATGTGTAAGCAATCAAGTCCCTGCCCTCGAATAAAACGAAGACGGCGCTCCCTAATGTGACAAAAGGCCCGCGCTTCTCGGATATACCCAACATCAGGCGCTGAGCACTACGGTTTCATTCTCTTCTGTGTTGAAATGCAGCTTAGTTGTTCTCGTGTGCCCCAATGACACTCGCTCATCGTTTTAGTTTCGATGAGCTTTTCTGAAAAAATGTTCAATAAACTAATCGTCTTTTTTTGACATACGTTCCTGAAATTAGTTTCTCTTCTCCGTCTCTTCAGTTTACACCCGAAGGCCAAAGCAGCGACGACTAATTCATTCCGCGCAGCGAAAAGGGGAATAAAAGCATCAAAGAGCGTAGGAATAGGGCTGCAGGAATCAGAAGGAGCCTTCAGAAGCTCTGAAAAGGCGATAGGCACTCGCGCAGCTTTGCTCATCAGACCCTGGCGCCGGCCGGCGGCCTCTGCCTTCCGACGCCTCCGCCTCCGTCCCACTGCCTCCGCCTCCGCCCGCTCGCCCTCCCCCGCGGCGCGCCTCCCTCCTCCTTCCTCCCTCTCCTACGCGCCGCCGCGCCGCCGCCGCCGCTCCGCGAGCCGCCGGGCTCCTCCTCCTCCTCCTCCTCCTCCCTCCTCCTCCTCTCCTCCCTACGCCGCCGCCCCGCGCCTCCCGCCTCCCCGCCTCCTCCTCGTCTCGTCCTCCTCCTAGCCGTCCTAGCTGAAGGCCCCGCATCGGCTTCTTCCGCACAGCTTTGGCATGCTTTCCACAGCCGCCGCCCCCAGCCTCTGCCTGCATCCGTTCGGGTCGTTCGTGCGACACCGTTCCAGCCCATCTGCCTGCCGTCCTCGGAGCTTCATCACCAAGACCAGCCTGCCGTCTCTTGCCCACCTTCCACCTAGCTCTTTCTCTACTTCGGACTGGTGCGAAGTCTAGTTTCCGCCAACGCTACCTTACAGGTCTATCTCTTCGGTCCTAGCTTCCACGTCAGGCTCATCTAACTCCCTGGAAGCTTAGCGGCCAGCTCTGGCCTCGAGCTGGTACCTTCGTCTTCACTTTAGTTCCACAGCCACCTCCA